AATAGACTTAAACCATTGGATATTGAGTTTATGAAACGCCTACATGAAAAAGTGAACATCATTCCACTTATTGCCAAAGCAGACACACTTACACCTGAAGAATGCCAACAGTTTAAAAAACAGGTGAACCGAAAGCTTAATGTCAAATACTTACTGTTTGCTCATATATAGCTAGTGAACTTTTAATCCTGAAGTGACTTTTTAAACTCGGGAGGTAATTTATAGTTCTTCAGCAAGAGAATGCATTTTTTTTTGTGGTGTAGAGCTGACTTCTTCCCTGAGGGGCTAGAAATATGAACAGCATTAATACAACTTCTGACATGGGAAATGTGCTTCCCTGATCTTATCTCAGAAATAAAAATGCAAGTTCTTTCCATGTAAGTTAAAAATGACAGGTCTTCTGTCTACAAAGTGTCTGAAATATTGTCAGATTTGTGCAGGATGGTGGCGATTACAGGCTTGTCAGACAGGGGGGGGGGGGGGGTCTCTTTATAAATGTGGCCACATAGTCATACTTAGTCATTGCCGCAGTGTTTACTTTTTCTAAAGATAGTGGTATACTGGGAATGTAATTACGGTCGGAAAAACAGTCCCCGTGCACTTGATTGCGATGGTTTCCGCATATAAACCTGTAACAATTTCAAGGTGATTAGTGGCTTTTAGCATAATGGAATCGAATGTATTTAACGCCAGCATCCCACAGTATTGCAGTCAGGAATTATGTTGGGATTGTGACTCTCGCAACTCTGAGAAGTGTTTGACTGACACCTATCAGCACCACGCAATCTGTTTTTGTATGTGCATGTGTGGTTTGCACATTCACATTTGGATAATGCGAATGCAGTATTGCATGAAGTCATTAGCCAGCTTAAGTTAAAACAACTAAGCCTTGAACCAAGATCAGTGCTTCTGAGGTATGTTTTGACTGTCACAGATCTTTCTGAAGCAGAGTAAAAGGTTAATCAAACTAAGGGGGATAATTTGTGCTAAAGTGAATGAGGACATTTCTCTGGAAAGTGTGTGGCTGTTTGAGGAATGACTTATGTAACCAGGGTTTTCAAAAGACCTTCTGGAGCAGTGACTGAAAAGGAAGGGGGAAGTTGTATTCATGTTCTGGCACAGCCTTGTAGTTTCCAAATACCATGGGTGTATCTCGTGGATGAAAGACAGAAATACACCACCTGTTCCATAAGCATGTCCCATCATTGCTTCAGTCTTGTATTAACAAATATTTTTAATTACAGATAATGAAAGAAATTCAAGAGCACAAAATTAAAATATATGAATTCCCAGAAACGGATGATGAAGAAGAAAATAAGCTGGTTAAAAAAATTAAGGTACAAAACTATCTTGAAGTTGTTGGTTTTTTTAAAGCAAACAAACAAACCCATTCAGAGCTCTGTGGCCACTTCAGGCATATAGAACTCCATGTTTAAATTGTTTCCCCCTCATGAAGATGTGCTCCATAAAGGGATGAGCGTGCAGAGCTTTCCTTTCTGTTGAAGCAACTGGAAAAGCCCTTGCTTGCACCCTTAGCAGTTTCATTTGTGCACTGAAGCATCATGGCAGGCATAGAATTTTGGGAAGGCAAATGTACTCTTCTTGGTCCAGGCATGCAATAACAGTGATGAAAACCTCTCAATCTTGTATAATTTGGAAAAATAGTTATACATGGCCAACAGTTAATGATCTTTCCCTGTGCCTTAGTATTGTTGAAGCACACACATATTTGATGACTTGGAGAATTAATAAAATTAATTTTTGGTCATGGTGAAAAAACGGTTGTTCCCATTGAACGTCATTGTGTAGTGCATGGGAAGACCTTAGAATTCCCAAGTCTAGTACTTCATAAGATGTAATTGGTTAATTTGTCAGATTTCCCTAAAACTTTTGTTTGAACAGTAATGAAAGAAATGACTGTCAGACTTTAATGCTGTCTGTTGACAGCAGATAGAATTTTCTGTTGTAATCCTATGAAAAGTGGATCTGCAAGATTAAAAGGGTTGTTAAGACATAACAGCGTTCCGTGCGCCTTGGTGTTTAGTCATGCCGGCCACATGACCACGGAGATGTCTTCGGACAGCGCTGGCTCTTCGGCTTTGAAACGGAGATGAGCACCACAACCCCAGAGTCGGAATCGACTGGCTTTCGAGCAAGGGAACCTTTACCTTTTTACTTAAGACATAAAGAACCTTTTTCCTTACTGGAATGGATTAAGAAGCACATTAGAACTTTAAATAAAATTGGACATGAAACCAGACCTGATAACCAATATCCAAGCGGTATATTAAAGTAGTTTAATATGAATTATAAAACACTGTTCCATATTTCAAAAAAGGCACAATATTTTCAACCCACTCGATCATTTGTAGCTCTTGTTTGAAGAATGCTTAAGCGCTACAGAGAGCCTATGACACCCCCTTGTGGCTGATATGCTGAAATTTCAACATGCAGATGAATAATAGTTAATTGAGATCCCTGACTCCTGGGAATGTGCAGAGTGCTTTCCAACCCAAATTTATTTGATGACCATAGCAAGGGCCTGAAACCTTTGAAAAGCAGTAATCTGCCACTGTCTAGGATTTCAGGTAATAAAAACAACTTTGTCAATTTTAGAAAGTAACCAGAACATATTTTAATTTTCTATATAAGGATCAAAAGAAACCCCAGTATTATCTTCACATCCTTAATATAAGTAGGTAAAGTATTATCCCATATGCTGAGTCTTGTATTGAAAAACTAAAACTTGTTAAAGAAGGGAAAATCAGAAAATAAGCATGGATTTTTTTTAAAGGTACAGAGCAGAAAGCATCTTTTAAAATGGCAGACAAATTGGGTAATACAGGTAATTCCCAAGTTGTCTAGTGTCTGATACAAATTCAGGTAGAATTCTGAGTTGTGGAGTGTTGGTTTGAAGCATGGTTCACAAATGGAACCAAGTCATGCAGCTTTCAGATGGAGAAGAAGCAGGAAGTTGATCTGGATTCTCTCAATAGGTCCAGAATCTCAGATTCCTCTTTTCCAGACAATATGAACTTTGGCATTTAGTAAACTGAAGGTTCAGTTAGGATTGCCTGACAAGTATGTTCATGTAGTTAATATGTGAGAGAGAGGGAGTTGCAAGGAATAATGGGAAGGCAACTAACTCTACTTGAGCACTGATCAGAATTGGTAGCTCTCTGGATCTGGAAGTTGTCCAGGAATGCAGAAAAATTCTTCTAGAAGTTGTCCAGGAATGCAGAAAAATTCTTCTAGCAGCTTTAACACTTATACATTGGCCATGTCACTAAAGTCAGGAAGAAATTTTAGATTGCATTTGTGTCTTGACAGTCCAACTGCAATGTCATACACATATTCTGGGAAACAAACTTTCTGACGAAGGGGAAGTGGAGTAGGCTTTGACCTTCAGAAAAATAGAATTGAATCAACCTGGATGTCTTAAAATGGCAGCCAATAAAGACTGGAGTTCCAATAGAAGAATAAATAAAATCTGTGTTGGAAGTTGAACCCCCTGTCCTTTTTTCTCAGCACTGTTCTCTAGTTTAGTGGTTCTGAAGGGCAGGTAGGGGAGTGTTACCTGGGATACTGGGTGATAAATTCTTTTGTTTCTCTTTTGCACTGCGGACAGGTGGCAAAACGTACATGAAGAACTTAAAACCGACAAGTCATATAAAGTTGCGTTAGGTGGAACTGGACTACTGGCCCATCCTAGCCCACGTAGTCTAGTTTTTAGCAATGGCTCTCCAAACCTCAAGTAGTGGTCTTTCCCATGTCTGTAGCCTGAGACACCCCCCCACACACACCCTTTTTAAAGGAGATGCGAGGAATCAAATATGAGATCTTGTTGAGCTTTGGCTCCCCTCAGTAATGTTACATAAACGTCTTTCATGTCTATCCATTTTATGCCATCAGAGCAATAAAACTATAGCTATTGACCTGTAACTTTTTCTGTCTTGTAGGACCGTTTACCTCTTGCTGTAGTAGGTAGCAATACTATCATTGAAGTCAACGGCAAGAGAGTCAGGGGAAGGCAGTATCCTTGGGGAGTTGCAGAAGGTAAGAAGGGAGATTGTGCACACTAATATAATCGGGCAGTAAGGTGGTTAAGCGGCAGTTTTGAAATACCGCACTTTGGAGGAAATTACAGAGCATTTGCATCCCAAAGTAAGAGGCTTCAGGAGTGTGGGAACCATTGCAAATTCAGCTTGTGGCTGGAGATGGGCATTCCTTATCTCCTTTCAGGACCTAGAATCTGTGGCCTGTTCAGAATAACTGGGGGAAAAGTCTCTGGCCCTGCTCCATCCATGGCATCCATAATGGTCAAGGGATGGTGGAAGAACCACTGTTCAACCCATTTGCTAACCCTCCTGTTCAATGGAATCATGATCCATTTGAATGCTTCAATAAAACTTCCATGGATTACCCTTCCATGTATTGATGTTACACTAGATAGATGAGATACTGTACTGGAACATTTTTCAGGAAGCTAGCTCTATGCTTGTGATTTTTCATCCATCATAACCTGAAAAATTTCCCTCCAGGTTAGTCCAAGTAAAAAAGATCCTCTTGTCCATTTTGTTATGGCTGTTCTTGCTACAAGAGGTTTTTTTGGTAAGAAATTATGACTGAAGTACTTCTTTAAAAAGTGATTCAAATAATATAAAATATCAATTTTCTGGGATCTTAATTCCAGAGTGATTCTCGTTATGGATGCTTGATTTAACCTAGAGTAAATGCGATTTTAAATTCCTGTCATCTTTTAAGTTTGGTTGTAATGAGAAGCCCAGAATGCTGTAATAGCCTGTTTTAACAATAATTTTAAGAAATTTGTGTGCATCATCCAGTTCTGATTAATTATCATTGGGGAATAATTACTTTGGTTAGTTACAGTGCTTAGTCCTTTCAGTGCGACCTGTCAGGGAGTGTTGTCAAATCTGCCTTTCTTGTTATTTCTTACTAGAATATGGTTAATCACTGAGTGTGAGAATGCTCATAATACAGTATAGTCCTACTTTGAAAGCCAGCCACTGATTCTTGCATGTGAAATAAATTCTGGTTTAAATCAGACATAACATATACCATTGTGTTTAGTAAACAGAGACACCTAACTTACAGAGTAGTTTGCTTATACACAATCTTAACCTCAGTCCTAGCAGATCAGTCTAAAAGTAATCCATTTAATGGTGTCAAGCCTAACTAGTTGGGGATGAGCACGAACTAGCACACGAGCCAAAATTTGGCACAAACTTAGGCCATTTTGGAACTTGGGAACCAATGTTTGGAGAAGATGCCTTCCTAGAACATTAGCGGACTTTTGGCCACTTCAATTTGGCTGTTCAGAGCCAGCCATTTAAATGCGGGTCTTCCACTCAGCTGGCAGCCATTTAACCCTTCCTGGGTCATCCCTTCCCGCACCCTTTTTTCTGGTCGCAGTGAGCCATGGCCAAGCAAAAATGGGAAAGGAAGTCCTTTCCTGGGCAATCCCCCCCTTTCTCCTAGCCCCAGTGAGCCATGGCCAGGAGAAAAGTGGAAGGAAAGTCCTTTCCAGGGCAGTCCCCACCTCCTTTATCCAAGCCATAGTGAGCCATGGCTGGGAGAAAGGGGAAAAGGAAGAGATTTCCTGGGCCCTGGCAAGCCGCAGCTGGGGAAAAGGTAGAAGGGAGAAAGGGGAAACTGAACTTGCTGGTTCAGTTCAGGTGGGCCCCGTTTGGGTCAATGCTGGGTTTGGTTCATGGGCTGCCTTGAACCAAACTGCCCTTTTTAGGTTCATGCCCATCCGTATAACTAATATAATTCAGTTCTCATTGTGTTAGCTACACAACTAAACAGAAAATGAATGCTTTCCAAATATGTGGAATTTTCCCAAGTGGCTGTTCAGATCCTACTAGTTTCTAAGCCTCCCTCTCCTTACCCCATCTTCTTTCCCACCCCTATTCCTACAATATGAAAAGTGGCCCCAAAAGAAGAAGTGTAAGTGTCAGAAGAAGTGTAAAAATCGACAATAACTATATCATAATTCTAACTCAACTAAAACTGAACTAACTGTATTCTAGTAATGAAATTACTCTCTAAGGTACTGTCAATTTATATATAAACTCAAGAAACTTAACTGCAGGACTTTTTTGGAGCAAAACAAACTCCATGGAACCTAGTGGATATTTTATGTATCCTTTACTTTAAACTGTAGATTTTCTATAAATTATTTCCTTTCAGATTTAGGATTGATTTGTACAAGGCTTTTTGTTAATGTGGAGCAAGGTGGTGTTGAACTGCTAATTTCAGTGTATTAAAGTTGCTTATTATCACAAAGTGACATTTTTGTGACAAGGTGTGAGAATCACATCAAGCAGTCTTCCTTGACTGGCTTTTGTAGGCCTCTGCTGGAAGGTCTTGCTTGCAGCCAGCTGCTTGGGAGTAATCCTGCAGGCTGCAGCTACTCATCATCAGCAAGCAGCTGGCATCAGGCCAGGAGACAGTGCACTTTCTCTTCTTTCCTGAAGCTCCATTTTAAGCTTTGGTCTCCCATGCTCAAAGGGTGTGGGTGAAACTGGAGGGCTGGTAACGACCACCAGGGCTTCTTCTGTTGGAACAGACTGGAAGGTGCTGGTGGCTCTGCATCAGCTGTCAGCTGTGAATTCTGACAAGCCTGCAGATCATCTTCTTGCTTGCCAGTTTCTGCTGGTTCAGAGCTGATTTGGCTGTTTTTCTCCTGAGGAGTCCTCACTGTTGCTGAGTCCAGGCTGACCCCGATATCAGAAGCCAAAAATGAGAGATCACGGGAGGAAGTAGAATACCAAAAACAACATCCGTGACAAAAATAACGAAGAGTCGATAAAGATAAGTTGCAAAAACGTTTACTGTAGTAATTCTGTAATTCTGCTTGTGAAGACCTTGGGTTCTGTTATTAGAGAGTCAACATGGAATGTTTCCTTCAAGAGTTGATAAGTAGTAATTGATAAGAATGGGATTGCTACACGCTCAGATAAAGCAAATATTGTGAAACAAATTGTTTTCAATGCGCAGTATTCGTTGCGTGTGAGCGATTATAGAAGAAAATTTTCTACAGAATTGCTACAGTAAATGTTTTTGCAGCTTACCTTTATTGACTCTTCATTATTTTTTGTCACGGATGTTGTTTTTGGTGACCCATGATATCAGGCAAAAATGGGAATGATCATTCCCTGGATTTCAGATATGCTGTAAACTTTCTGGGAGATGTGCCTCAAAATGTGAATAATTTTATTTTTATTCTGTTCTTCAGTTTTGCATTTTCAAGTTTGCTAACAACCATTTTTTGCTTTGTTGAGGTACCTCTGTGTGATACAGAATTTTAACATATGCAAGATAAATAAGAATTGTGTCATTAGAACATAATGTGAATACCAGTGGGTAGTTGCCCCATTCTCTTCTGGTGTTGCTTTTCTTCCAAGACAGCAGCAGCAATGGTAAATGGAAGCTGACTAGTTTCTATGTTGTGCACAGAGGCATGTCTCCCCCCCCCCCCCGACAAATTACTATTTTGTTTAGCAGAGCAGTTAAAATGGAACATTTTTCTTTTGCAGTTGAAAATGGTGAGCACTGTGACTTCACAATTCTCAGGAACATGTTGATACGGCAAGTAAACTGTACATGATGTTTTGAAAGCAGATCTTTTTTCTAAACGGGAGGGAGCCTTGCAGTTAAAATAAATACATACCCCATTCCAATGTGGTTTATTTATTTTTCAGATTTATATCCCGCCCTCCCTACAGGTGGGCTCAGGGTGGATCACAAGGCCATTCAGCGGTACAATAATAAATACGTTAATAATAAAATTAAAACAATTAAGAACAATAATTTAAAACAGATTGCACTATTTGTTTGTGCCCTCAATCTCCAAAGCTGGTGTTGTTGGGTCTCTGAGGTCCTCTTGAACTGGGCGATACAGCGATGGTGGTCTTCAGCAGGGGAGGCTGACTTTTCCCACTGGACGCCTCCCACCTCATCCAAAGGCCTGGTGGAACAGCTCAGTTTTACGGGCCCCGCAGAACAACAGTAGGTTCTGCAGAGCCCTGATCTGAGCATGTTCCACCAGGCCAGGGCCAGGGCAGAAAAAGACCTGGCCCTGGTTAAGGCTAAGTGGACGTCCCTTGGGCCGGGGACAACCAGCAGATCTTGAATGGCAGAGTGCAAGGGAGATGCGGTCCTTCAGGTGTGTCGGTCCCCGGTTCTTCCAAATATCAGATGCCTTCCTCTCCTTACTTAGTAAGAGGATTTTTGAAATACTTTACAAGATCCATGTGGTGCTTTCATGGCATAATTTATATTTTATTTATTTTTATTTATTTATTTATTTAATTTTTACCCCGCCCTCCCACCAAAGCGGGAGTTTTTGCCCTCATGAAGTACAGATGGCAGCTGAAGAAGCCGCAACAAGTCTTCTGCCTCAGCTGACAGTGCAAATACCTTTAAGACTGCCAGAGCTTTTCAGAAGACTAGTTACCTGTCTGCTAGTACGCCTCATGAATATGACAGAAATGTCTAATGCCATCGCCAAATCTCCAGGGGTCAGGGCATTGTAATTGTCTCTAGTTAACACAACAAAACAGAGGAAGACAGCAAAAGAAACTGGAAGATATGGCAGATGGTGTAGTTCTAGTAAATCTGCATATGCTCTTGGTGGGTTTCTGAACTGTGTTGAACAGTTATAGGACTGCCAGTGGATAAGTAACAAATCCTAAATTTAATTTTTCTTTTATGATTTTGAACTGTAAAATAAGAGTTCCAAAACAAAAATGCAAGCGAAGGAAAAGTAACTTCTGGTATTGGAATTAATGACAGTTTATGGGATGTGTTGTAAACTGAAACTTCTCAATTTTGACTTTCATGCCTGAGACTTGGAAACCCATGATCTCACGCTGATCCTAAAGTAATAATTTGGCCAGGGGTCGTTTCGTAGAAAAAGAGCTAGGAGAACTCATTAGCATAACTCACCGGCCTTGCAGCTCCACTGCCAAGCCCCATGAGGGGCCCGGCGGTGGACCTGCAAGGCCGGCGGGAGTGCAAGGAAGCCCCGCGAAGGCCCTCCCTGGCCCCAGGTAGGCAGGGGTGGGGAGGAAGCAACTTACCCTCCCTCTGCTCCTGCCTCCTCCTGGCTGAATGAGGGCTGGAAGCGGGGCGGCCGGAAGCAGGGGGCGGGGCTTCGTCATGTGCCCCCCCGTACCTCACCCGGGGGAACTGCGATCCCCCGCGATCCCCCCGAAATGACCTCTGAATTTGGCAGTTCCAATGAGTGAAACAGGGTTTTCTTCCTTGAAATGTGCTTAGGTTTCGGCTGTGAACTTGGGAAGTATTTCTGCATTGGGGATGAATTTAAATTAGCTAGGAATATACCATCTTAAGCACATCAGGGAAATACCGCTGTATCCTGCTCATTTGGGATATTGATTAAAATGTTGGAATTTTAGATAAGGAAACAATTGCTTGCTTTTCCCGTTAAGTACAGTAAGTCACTGTAGTTATATGCATTTTATATTTCAGAACCCTAAAAACCCATGCCAAGAGTTTTTTTCTTATTTAAAGTTAATGATGTTCAGTTGATATTTAATCATTCCAGGAAGGAAAAGTTGCTGACAACCTCCCTTTTTTAAAAAATAGAACTCACATGCAAGACTTGAAGGATGTCACTAATAATGTCCACTATGAGAACTACAGAAGCAGGAAATTGGCAGCTGTTACATACAATGGAGTGGACAACCACAAAAACAAAGGGCAGCTAACCAAGTAAGTGGCAACGGCGGTGGTAACTGTTTATTTCGCCATTGAGTTTAATCCTTAAAGGGACACTGCGACATTGAAATGATCTCTTTCGATGCATACATTGAATTTAAATATTTAGCAAGTCACGTGCAACCAGACTGTTGGTGATTTGTTTTCTTACTAGTTGAAAATCGGTGAACTTGTACGAATTGATATTGCCTGCGGTTTCAATGATGCACACATCTTTGAAAATGCATTTACTTCCACCTTTGGATATTGAGTTGCTTTTTGTCCTTTTTTGTGGATGTTCGAAGGCCAGCAAGGAGAGTGGAAGTTGCTTATCTGGTTGCCTGTCCATCAGTTCACTATCTCAGTTTTCAGAGAAAAGTGTGGTACGGCATTTGGCTTAAACCGGTATGATTGAAATAAGTTCCATTCCATTCCATGTGTGGATATTGTGCTCTCCTGTAGAGCACTGTGTGTTACCTGAGGAGTGTGGGTATTATTATTTTTACTAATTGTCTATTGCATTTCTGTTAGGATATCTGAAATCAAAACAAAACCATTTTTATAACCTCCTGCAGGAATGACTATTTTGAGACTTCCAGTGGAGTGGCTGTGTTAGTCTGTTGTAGCAAAACAAAACAAATCCCGTGGCACCTTAATGACTAATGACATTTATTCCACTGAGTGCTTTTGTTAGCACTGGACCTCTGTTCTCTTGTTGTATCTTGCTTGAATCAGCTCAGCTGACGTATCCTCAGGCTGCTGACAGAATGAAAAGAGAGCTGACATCTGTTCATCAGATCCATTGTCTTCACGGAGACCATGCCATGCTTCTTACTCTACAAGAGGTGCCCCTGCCCTCTCTACCTCACAGTTCAAAAAGCTCATGAACTAGGGCATCCCCACAGATAACCAGTTGCACAAATGCGCCCTCACATTCTCTGCCTCCCAAACAAGGTGTGTGTGGGGGAAGGGGGGGGAGATTGCACAAGGTCGCCATTCTCATGATATAGCATAGCTTGGAGATCCAAACTCACACATCCTTGAAAGTGTACAGTGGAGAGATGGGGGTGCCTACCTGTTTCTCTATTGTGCCAGGGCAGCTGGTGATAATGTATGAGCTGAGACACTACTAGTAGATCGGGGCGTCTTTCTCTAGCTGAAAGGTAATTGGTTTTAGGTAATTGGTTTTAGATACCAGTAGGTTTTTCTTGATTGGGGAAATTATAGTCGTGGCTTGACCGTAGGCATGCCTAGCAGGGGCAGTTTGTTTGAAAGGTGTAAACAGATTGCACTTTGCAGGTGACCGGGGGGTGGGGGGGTCATGACAAGCAAGCCATCTTTTGCCTCTCAGACTGGAGTTTTCGTGTGGTTTGATGTGTTGCCTGAATTCAGGCACAGGGTTCTTAGATGCCTTCTGGTCTAGCTTGCAGGCAGATTTGGTGGTTAGACAGGCTTTTTGTTTGGACGGTATATATCAAGACAGTGACAATGACGGTATATATCAAGCCAACCCCCCAGTTTATCTTACTGGGCCTTCCAGTGGCTTTTGATCTCTCTGAGCACATACAAGAGGGTAGGTATATGTGGTGCTGCCATAAATTGATTTGTTTCGGCGCCATAGGAATTGTCCTGTGTTGTGCAACTTTGCGCATGTTGTTCTTCAGCAGTATTTATTTATTTATTTGTTTGTATTTTAACGGCCCTCCCCCAACAGAGCAGGGCTCAAGGCTGTGTACAACATTATACTTTGTATAATCCAGGGGCTTCAGGTGATCTTTACAGATTTGGAATAAGGTATCATCAGTCTATTATCTTGTAGCTCTATTTTGCTTGGTTCTGTTTTGAAGAAGTGTGTGAGGGGAGGGGGGGTGGACTGGGTGAAACTGAATCCAGGCAAAAAGGGAGGAAATGTTTATGCTTCTGGCTCATTATAATTCTTATGGGTGCTTGAATATCCGTGGTGACACTTTGCATTGTATACTTGCTGTGACTTCATCTGCAGATTAAATTGTATCATATACTCTTTTATTAGTATATTCAATAGGGCAGATTTTTCTCAGAGGTGGAAATCTGTTTTCATCATGCCAAAGACTTACATAGAATGAAATCCACAATTGTGATTTTGTTTTATATCAAGGTATTGTTGGACTCTGTTGTTTTGAGGTAGAGGAGTTTAATCTGTATTTTAAGTAGTGAGGAGCTAGTTTGTATAATGCACAGATTTATATTTGTAAGTTGGATATCTGGCCAGTACATTCCATTGGGTTGATTTGGAAACATGTAATTTATATGTCACAGCCGTTTACTGCAAAGATGGTAATTAGATTTACAGGCTAATTCCTCTTCTGTTACTAAAGTCTGCATGTGCAGAGGATGAGGGATGCAAAAATCTGTACCCCTCTAAGATCTTTTATTTTTCTGTAACTTCAAAATTCCGTGTTTGAAAATTAGCTTTGAACCTCTACCACACACAGCCATACTATATGTGACAGCGTACAGGAGGCCAGCCTGTGGATGTCACTGCCATTTTAAAGTGATTTAAAAATGCTACGAGGGCCCTATCCTGATTGGGCCCACACCAGGCTGAGGCACTCCTGTTTCTCCCCCCCCCCAACTTTTCAAGTGCCATAATGCCCCCCACTGCTGCCACATTTTAAAATCAATTTAAAATGGAGCTGGCATCCACCATTCTGGAGAATGCTGGAGAAGACTCTTGAGAGTCCCTTGAACTGCAAGAAGATCAAATCAGTCAATCCTAAAAGAAATCAACCCTGACTGTTTCCTGGAAGGCCAGATAATGAAACTGAAGCTCAAATACTTTGGCCACCAAATGAGAAGGGAGCACTCACTGGAGAAGACCCTGATGCTGGGAAAGACTGAAGGTCAAAGAAGACGGGGACGGCAAAGGATGAGATGGCTAGACAGTGTCATAGATGCAACGAACATGAAATTGAGCAAACTTCAGAGGACGGCAGAAGACAGGAGGGCCTGGCGGGATCTGGTCCATGGGGTCACGAAGAGTCGGACTCGACTGTGCGACTGAACAACAACAAAATACACCATTCTGACCTGTGGACCCTGTAATGCCTAGTTTGGCCCATAGAGAGCTGGTCTCCTGGGTTCCTGTGATCTGTACTCTATCACATATGTGGACCGGTTAACTACCAACTAAGGGCCTAGCTAGACAAAATGCTGGGAGATCGGCATTTACAGGAATCTCTGACTTGAATATTGATCACTCCCTTTGGGAACTCGTTCCATCTTCTGTCTTCCATTTACTTCATAAATGCTAGTTCTGGCTTACGTCTCAGTGCCAGAAGGTGCTGCTTAATTTTCATAGAAACTAGCTGCATGGATGGGTCAGTGTTTCTAGTAGTGGAGCATTATCTTTGTTTCATGTTTACAGAAAACCATATGGAAGTCATCGTTATGGACCCCGTACTCAAGATCAGTTAATATAGTTCAAGTTAGCCTTTATTGGCATACATTGTAGATACAGATTATACATAAGAGCAGAATAAAAACGCACTTTTAAAAAAATTATGTCTCTCGGATCGTTTGGCACAGCTTTAAAGCAGAGTTGGAGACACACGTGGCCACCTTCTCGGTGATGTCAGAAGAGAAGTCATTCAGAAGTCTGTGTGCCTTAAGTGCATCAGGGCAATCCATCACGCTGCTCAAAGTAAAATGTAAATATATATCTGGCTGAGTGGGATATCTTGTTAAACCTGCCATATAAAATGGAGGAAGGCATAGTATTCCATCTGGCCAGAGTAAATGCTCTGTGGGGAAGATAAATATGAGGCCGTCTTCCCTGTGGTAAGACAGATTTCAAAACTCAAAGGGGGAGCAGGTTTTATTGGCTACACTGTATAACTTCTGGCGCTCAATATCTAGCGTCCTGTTTTTAATCTGTTGAAATGCAGCCACAGAGGGCAGCATAGGCAGTGATTCTATAGATAGACCCAATACTTTGATTTTTTCCCCCTCAATGTATGCTGACCAATTTGACACATTGAGCTTCAGGAAGCATGTGATATATGAAGCTCCCGGATTCAAAGTTGTAGTGTAGGCGTTGCCAGTATTTGAATGCCAGTTAATATAAATGTAGTTGTCCTTCAACATATCTTAGTCAATCAAGGTATCACTTGTGGCTAGATTTTGTCCTACCCTTTCAACAAATCTAAAGTTAATGCGAAATTTTTTGACATCCACTTGGTTTACACAATTTTCTTGGAAGCTGAATAATTGGCCACTTCATCAGGTGTCTCAGTTTCGCTACACAGGGATTCTTTTCCAAGCTGCCTTCTCATGGAGGGCCCATAAAAGAGTATGCCCTACACTCTGCAGCTGGTTCCTGTGTGGCTATATGTCGTTTCTTTTCTTTTTTTTCTTCTCAGGCCACTTTGTTCCTGCAGGAATTCCGGGTTTTTAGGGCTAAAGTCATGGCTTCAATATGGAGCAGCTGTTTGGATTATTGGAGTGGATAGTTCTGTTGATCAACTTTAGGAGACCTTTCTTCAGAAATTAATGCTGTTCCCTGTTGTGTTGCCTGTATGGTTCTCTGATTGGGAGTGGGCCTTGGATCAGTGGAACGCCATGCTCAGAAGCTGGTTTTCCACCTTTACTTGAAGGTTTTGTTTTATCAGGAAGCTTCCATTTTTCTTTCATTTTCTGACTGTCACAATGGAGGTTTAATTTTGAATCTATATTTTAGGGCTGCCCCCTGCATTTCTGTTGTCTGTCGGCCCTCAGGCTGCTAGACGTTCCCTGGACAGAGCACTGGAGGCCTTAGATCACCAGTTGGTCTTTGATAGGGCTTGTAGACTAAGTTCTGTGTTATATTTTTGGCAATGTACCACTGTCGTCTTTTTATCAATTTACTGTTCCTAAATATTGGAGGCTTTTTGTGTTGGCTAGGTTAAATGCTTTTCACTTCACTGTTTTGCTGGGTAGATTCCAAGGAGTAACCTACTTGGAAAACCTGTGCCTCTGTGGATCTGGCACAATTGAAACTTTATCTCACATCCTTTTAGATTGTGTGCTGGTGTCCCCTCTGGGAGATCTCTGCATTTCTCTGGTGATCATTTCTGATGCTTTTTTTCTCCTCTCTGGCTTGCTTACTAGCTGATACTAATTTTTTATTACATTGATGGTAGCAAAAGTTTGGCTGCAGTGGCTGCTATGCAAGGATGGAAATAGAGTGTGAAAGAATTATTCGTGTTGTCCAAAACGGTTTGGTCATTGAATTGTAATTTAAAATAAAACAAAACAAATATTTTTGAGTGATGGGAAGGCTGTAGTCTGTATTAGCAATTGTGCTTGAGATAAGAAATATTTTGTTTCATCGTTGTGGCTTGTGTATAGTCCTCCGTGAGAACTGTGCATGCGCAGGCTGGCTGCAATAGTTCTAAAGCAGTGTTTTCCCACCCACTGCATGTATAAAAGGGGAGAGCCACCTCCTTTGATTCTTCTTTTGCGGGCTCTGAAGGATGTTGGATTACTTCAGTTCCTGAAGAATTTCAAATATGCCATTGGTTCAGAAGATCTTGCTATCAGCATTTTTCAGAAGATGTCTTCAAAGGCCTTATGTGGAACCAAGATGGCCCAGTCAGATGCACACGACTTGCGCCGCCTATGTCTCAGTGAGATACGTGACACCTTAAGGGTGCTCAGCCTGTAAGCAATTTATGCTGAAGGCCCAGAACTAAAGAGCCTCCCAGCTAAAAGCTGTATTATGGGAAATCTCCCTTAAGGGTTTAGCCCTATCAACAGCTCCAACCAGTGAAAAAGACCCAGAGTCCTGAGAGAGAATCCTTGGTGCCACTGGCTTCAATTGCAAACCCAGACTTGGTTCTACCCTTTGACCTCAGTTCCTAGAAGTCACACTCCACCTAAAAGTCAGTCAGAACCACCTGCAAAGGCGGCAAAGATAAAGGCGAAGCATATCAAGAATATGAGCACTCTCTCCTTAGCTAAGTCCAAGTCATGTAAGAAGTCTACTTTGTCGATTCCAGGTGCCTTCAGCCAAAGCCTCAGTTCCACTGCTGGTTTCAAACACCCCATCACCCACTCCTCATTGGGGAAACCACTTTACGGTCTTACTGAAGTCCTAGATACTTCCATGATGGTCTCCCCTTTGCCTCCTTCACTGGAGTTTAGAGCAGTCGCACACCCCGACTTGAGAATTGCTGTCATCTCATCCCCAGGGCAAGACCATTCCTATCACTATGGCCATCATGTTCAGTTCCATTGCTCTCTGTACAGATTCCCTTGTCACTGTTACTGTGAATATTACCACGACTTTTACCACCATTACTACAGTCACTATCCCCGCTCTCACTAAGAACCGAAGCCTAAACATCAGCCTCCATCTGTGTGACAGAGGAAACCAGATGAACCCCAGGGCAACCAGGGCCTCTCCTTGGAACCATGCGCCTAGATTGAACAAGAGTCTGGATCTGGTTCCGACATTGTCTCCAAACCTTCACCGTCAGAAGTGCCGATGTTGAGGAAATTGCTGTTTCTCCAAGGAAGGACTTAGGCCTTTACACTGAGCAACTGTTGTGAATGGCAAAATCTCTTGAACGTCTTTTAATGGAACCACACATTGTAGGTCTTTCACAGAGAGTCTTGGCTTCTAATTAGTTGGTTGTGCTGTTTTTGTTTTGTTTTTTGCAAAGATCCAAAATGGCTTGCTTTTTTTAGTTCAACAATTTCCAGAGGGCAGTTATAGCTGCAGGGCTTTAAAGTCAAATGGTTTGAATGTTTTTATAATGTTAGAAGAATCTGTGAAATGCAGAAAAACTAATAGTTGCCATGTGATCATCTGAACTTAATTATATTGGGTGGTACTTTTTAAAAAAAAAATTAACAGTTTCGTGTGAGACCTCTGCTGGCCAGTTAAATGGTGCTCATTTACTTTATTTTGAATATACACAGTCTAGCGTAGGCCTAGAAAGAGTTAGGAATCACTGTATGCTTGGAGAAAAGTAATAAAATGAATGTCACTAAAATATTTAAACTCCATCTTAAAGAATTTGCATTGCTACTTGCAAACTTTTGCAGTACTGGTAATTTGTTCTTGGAAGCTTTGCACATCAGGTCTGCATTAAATGTGTGGCACTGACTAACTGAACATTGGTTATAAACCTTAACTAGCTTAAACTAACCATCTGTCATTTTACAGTGAAAATTTTGCTTCTGTGGAGCATCCGAGCCTTGAGTAGCTTCAAATCCATAATGAATTTGCTTTTTTTTATTACTGCTTTTTATTTTATTTTTTGTGGTTTTATTTAAGCATGCTAAGCATTTGTATTTTTTGTTTTTTTAGATTTGGCACAGTTGAAGGCATGTAAGTGGTCATTTAAAATTTTTCAAAAGACATAAGGGAGAAAAAGCTTTAAACAAACAAGGCTTTCAATGTTAAGTGTAATTTTTACATTTTATTTCCAGCTCTTGCATTTGTTTTGCTTTAATGTTTTCATTCTAAAACTGATCTAACATTAAATATTTTTAGTGACAAATACAGAAAGCACTTTGATTCACAAAGGAGACAGAAGGTCACTTTAGCAATTATTGGATACACAATCCACACAGTTTGCTGCCTTTTCAGTAAATATAAGTACACTGATTATGCATGAAATGCTCTTCAAGAACTTGGTGTTTTCATTTCTTGCCTCTAAAGTTGCAGGTGGTTGTGAGAGCACTTGAAAGCTGGCGCGATCATATCGTAGTGCTAGTAAAGAAGGCAAAAACTGTCGATACGATAGCGTCCTGTTATATAAATGGCTTGCGGAGGCTCATTTCTCAGTCTGATCAGGCGTGACATCCAAGAGAGAACTGTCAGCCTGGCCTGGCTGTTGGCCGTGGGTGCACACCTGTCCCTCCCATCACAGGGAGAACGGAATGATTTAATTGGGTGGGGCTGTGTTTTATCTGACCCTGCTGTCTCTCAGCCATCCCACTTAAAATCCATTTGCTCTGAGCGCAAGTTGGGTGATCTGGGAGTCGCTGCAGGGTATCCAGCCATCTGGGCAGCCATTCCCCCCCATCCATTTCCTCCTCCCCCCCCCCCCATTTGTTCTTGTGAAGCCAGAAGAACCGAAAGTGAGGACTTCTGGTGGTGGGGAGGGGAGGTGTGCCAGGAGAAATTGTCACCCTTTCTTCAGCTTGTGGAAATTCGGTTCTGTTGGAGGAACTTAGACTACTATATCATAGTAAACATCCGAGCACTGAGATCTATGAGTGTTAAATTCTGTAGTTCTTCCTTAAGTTTTCCTTTCATGGAGAAGTAACGGCTTGTGGGGGGGGGGGAATTGAGTGGTGCTGAAGTTTGCTGTTTTGAAACCATTGGGATTGTCCATATTTTCATGCCCTGAAAAGACTCTGCTTTGTAGTTTATATGTATATCATGCTTACAATAATCATTTTGTTAAAACACCTGCTGGGTTCTACTGACAGCAAAGGCTGTGTTCGCTATAGCCCCCGGGGGGGGAGGGGCTTTCTTTACTCACTAAAATAAATTACAGTGAAGATTGCCCATCTCCACGTACGCACTAGCTGTTTGGAGCAGAGCCAATTTTAATTAGATCTGTACTTTTTGTTCCCTGAAATTTTATTAAAATATACCTGGGCTTGGATTAAATACTGTTATTACAGCTGAGCCTCAGTCCTGTGAACTCACGTACAGAAGTTCGTTCCTGGAACTGCCAGTGTGCTCCTGAGTCCTTCCAAGTCTCAAGCTCCAGTTACTCACCTGTTCTACCTGGCTGGATTCCCTTGTGAACCTTTTGGCTCGGTCTGCCATTCCTTCTCCCATCTTCCTTTCAGCTCTCTCCTCTCATGTCTCTAGCTCCCTGGACAGGGTTCCTTGTTCTGTGATCTATGCCAACTAGATGAAGAACTTAGAAGGTTGTGTGTTCCCCCCCCCCCTGTGAGCTGTTACAAATTTGCTCTACACCTACCAGAGGACAGCTCTTTCAAATACCTGTTGGCAGGGGTGGAGGAATATATTTCTTAGCAGGGCTTTTTTGGTAGAAAAAGTCCAGCAGGAACTCATTAGCATAACAGGCCACACCCAGCAATAAAACGCATTTGCCTATTAGGCCACACCCCTGACTGCACCACTCATTAGCATATTAGGCTGCACCCCATGTTACCAGACGTGTGGCCATCCAGCCACACCCACCTTTTGCTTCTTATTCTGTTTACCTTGTTTGTTGTCAAAACCCTGGGCTTTTTTTGTTGCAGGAACTCCTTTGCATGTTAGGCCACACACCTCTAATGTAGCCAATCCTAATGGGTTTCTGCTGTTGGGTGTGGCCTGTTATGCTAATGAGTTCCTGCTGGGCGTGGCCAACTTAGGAGCCAGCCGGAACTCCGTTCCTGTGCGTTCCTGCCCAAAAATAGCCCTGTTTCTTAGCACTGACACTGAGAAGCTGTGGTACTTTGCTCCAGTGTCTTCACTGCAGTCCAAGAGTGCTGTTTTCATGTGGGTGAAGAAGTGCCCAAGGTATCTTAGTATTGCCTGTAGCTTTACAGTAAGACATTCTTCTTTCTCTTTATGCCTGCATAATTTTGAAAATGGTTACTTGCAGCCTTGCTGCCGCCTGAGGGTCTACAGTAACACCAGCTTTTAGAGTAATACTGTAAAAAATGTTAGCATCTATTTAGCTTGATCCTAGGTGGTAAAGTGAAGGTTGGTTCTGCTAGTTGCATCTTATTCACTGATACCCTTGTTTCCCCCCTATTTTGCATTGCATGAATGTCCAGGCAAGTGGTGGTAAACATGTGTCTGCAATGCACTTGTCTTGTTCGGCACATCACCAGTTATTCCCTTCCCAGACTGTATTGATGTGGTCAGATTGTGGCATGTGTAGCCTGTAATTTTGATTAGTTCCTGGTGTGGAATACCTGTGTGTATTAGGAATTCATTAACTATAGGGAAAGGAATCTGACTAATGCATTACCATGGGGCTTTGAATTCAGCAAGTCATTTAGATTACAGATCTGTCCTATATTCCAGCCTTACCAACATACAGCTGCAAGGAGGGTTACAAATACTCTTTTGCCATCGTTTACAAGTTCCCAATTCTCTCTCTCTCTCTTTAAAAAAAAATGTCTCTAGCCCTTTTTTAGCCCTTTTTGTTACAGAATTTTAGGAGAAAGGCACAGGATGCTCATTTACTGTATAACAGAAAGGGTTAGAGACTTTGAATAAATAAAATTAAAAAGCTGGGAACTAGAACATTGTTGCAAGGCTATAATGGTATATGTGGGGGGGAACTGTGGCTATTGGGGGCTGAAGCAAGGACAGGGCAGCAAAAACTGTTGTGCAGCTTTTCTGCTGACACGGCCGATGCCTCTGCACTCACAGCAGTGACCAGAGCTACACAGAGAGTTGCCTCCATGTGGAACCTCTGCTGTAGGGTAATTCCACTTGACAATTGGTTGTTCAGAGCAAATCACTGTGAAAAGCAGCTGCTTTCACTGTTCATTGGTTCTTATTGCTCTGTTAGGCCCAGAGTTGCCAGGTCCTAGTGCTGCAGAGACAGGAGAAACCACAAGTTCCAGAATTTCTCTATCAGGGCGTAGATCATGACCTAGCGACACTGTACCCCTTTGGCTCCCTGGTCCACATTCCTCAGACCTCCCTTGGAGGCTCACATTCTTCCTACCATCAGTGGACAGCCCCAGTCCCTCTAGCCTTCTCCGTCCACTGTTTTCCCTGCATCATTCCTTCAGCCTCCTTTCCTCTGGGTCTGCTGTCACTTGGCTTCCCTGCATCCCAGGACCTGTCCCTAGTTCTTCACCTGTCCCATATGACGTTTGTATGTCAGCCAAAATGCTTTTGTTTCCCAAGCAACTGAGCCATCACAAAGACACAAGTGCAATACATTCTAGAAGTAAATATAAGTGTGGTTTAATAAATCATAAAATTGCAGAAACAAAATCAGCCTAGTTTAAGCCTCACTTAGACAGACAGCATTCCGTAGACTAACATTCTTGACATATTAGCTCATCGTATATTGTTGCCCGAGCTCATCCATCATATGTGCACCAAATCTGTGGTATTAAAAGCTCACTGTGTGTAATTCTTTCCCCCTTTCACAATGTGCCCTTTCCTGGAAATAGTAGTGTTGCCAGTGGAGCACAGTCCCTTCTCCTTCCTCCCTTTGTAAACTAGATGCTTACGTTCGCTTAAAAGTACAAGACATTGCCGTGATGAGGAGAGCATTTGATCACTATCATGAATTTTTTAGGCACCTCTTACCCATATGGATACTTCACTATTAGATTGTTGCTTGCTTCCTTCCAATGTTTCCCTGTTGCCTTTTCACTGATCATGCATTAGCAAAAGAAATGTTCTCCATGGAATAACCAACTACCTGCTCTGGTTTATGGCAGGAGCCCTCTGGCACAAATGGAAGAAGAACGGAGAGAGCACGTCGCAAAGATGAAGAAAATGGAGATGGAAATGGAACAGGTCTTTGAAATGAAGGTCAAAGAAAAAGTTCAAAAACTGAAGGACTCTGAAGCGGAGGTAAATACAGCCAACTGTTGAGCATACCACCGTCTGGATGAAGCAAGGATTGTAAATAAAAATAACATATCACCTACGAGTTAACCTGCACACTGAGCATACCCCTCAGGAGATGATTAGGTATAAATTATTTCCCAGAGGAATCAGATAAGGTCTAGTAAGTGCACTTGGAGATTGGTAACATGACCCTGTGCTTGTGGGGACAGTGTGTTGTAGGTTCACAATGACCTCTCACATTGGGAGTGTGGGATTCATGGTTATGCTTTTGATCTTAAAACACAGCTTTTGTTAAATTGATGTGCTCAGGGGCAGATTGGCCATTATGATGGGCTGATAGCCTCCTCCCCACCCTGGGGTGGGCCAGCCCAATGGTGAAGACCACAACACCTGGCCAAGTTGTGTTGGAGTCTGCCTGGCTGGATAGGCAAGGAGTCTTTCACTCCTTTCACTCCCTCCTTTTCATTTCACCCCTGCTTGTGCTGAATGGGGTTTATTAGGCTAGCGTCATTAAATTACAGTTAGTTTGGGTTACAAAACACTATTCTCATACGTGTATAAGGAATGCCTTGTTCTTGTGTACATTATCAAATCACCAATCCAGGCAAGGTAACAGGTTTAGTTTGGATCAAATAGCTCTTTTCCCCCCATTTACTAGAAGTGATCCAAATAAAGTGAATTTGTTAACTTGGCTTGATAGGTGACTTTAACTCATAACTTATTCCAAGGGCTATGTAACAACTGTACCTAGAGGCATGAGACCAAATGAATGCCAGTTGATAGCATTGTTCTGGCCATCTCAAAAGAGTGCTTTTGAAAAATCATCATCTGTGTTGCAGGGAACCTTAATACTGGCTGGGCAGAGTAATGAACATGTCAAGTTTAAAAAAAAAAAGGGTTCAGAACTCAGAGTAGGCCATGAAGAGGAAATAGCAAGAATAAGGCACTTGCCGAGTACAAGATCTGAATGCAGTTATGCCAACACATTGAGAGGAATGCGTCTTTAATGTTTAGATAATTTGCTGCTGTGCTTGTCAGGTGCAGGTTTACATCTCTGGTCAAATACCATATTTTTCGCTCCATAAGACGCACCTGACCATAAGACGCACCTAGTTTTTAGAGGAGGAAAACAGGGGAAAAAATCTTTAGATAGTTTGCTGCTGTGCTTGTCAGGTGCAGGTTTACATCTCTGGTCAAATAATACCTAACTCTGGATTTCATACGAATAAGCAGGTTTCATTTGTACAGTGTACACTTTACGGAGCAGCAAGTCCAGAAGTGAAATTGTTTTTGAATAGGCAAGGCGGGCACCGATGAAGTGATTATGTGTCGCTTTCTTGTTTCTCAGCTCCAGCGGCGTCATGAGCAAATGAAAAAGAACCTGGAAGCCCAACACAAAGAACTGGAAGAAAAACGCCGCCAGTTTGAGGATGAGAAAGCAAACTGGGAAGCCCAGCAACGTATTTTGGAACAACAGAATTCTTCCAGGTATTCAGGAGTCTGTGCAGTTCTTTCTGGCAGTATTGTGATTTAGAGAATTTAATAAGAGGTGTAGTTAAATGTGGGTATTGCTTGGTACTGATGGGTTTTGTCTGACTGGCAAACTCTCAGTTTTTATTGTGTTGCTTTCCATGCTGTTGTATGTCTGGATTTGCCACCCTTTCCCCTGTTGTCAAATCACTTCCATCTTGCAGTCTCTCCTGGCATCTCAAACCTAATATTTTTGGAATACATTTTTAATCCACTGGCACTTTTAAGACCAACAAAGTTTTATTCAAGGTATAAGCTTTTGTGTGCTCACACGCTTCTTCAGACTTTAATCCACTGGCACTTTTAAGACCAACAGATGCAATAAAATGGAAATTGCCAGTCCACACATATACTGCTCCCCCTCAACCTTTATGTTTGGACTGGTAATTTCCATTTCAATGTGTCTGAGGAAGCATGCTTGCATACAAAAGCTTATATCTTGAATAAACCTTTGTGGGTCTTAAAGGTGCCCCTGGACTCAAATTTGGTGCTGCTGCTTCAGACCAACACGGCTATTTTTGGGCCACCACTGCCAGCACGACAAGTCCCCCGTGTCAATAGAACAGACTCCTCTATATGTATTAAGCAAACCTCTTACCAGCTGTCTAATCAAATAAACAGGAAGATGGTGTATAGGAGTACAAGTTGTGAAAGTGGACCTATCAAGGGCAGTAGGTTGGCTTATGGAACTCTACCTGTTGTTGGACTTAAAGGTGCCACTGGACTCAAACTCGGTTCTACTTGTTGTCATCAGAGCTTAGGCAAGAAAGCTTCAATATATTGGAAGTCTTAGTTTTTAGGCCTCAAAATTCAAAACTCACTTGACTGTATGCAGACGAAAGCCTCTTGCGGTTTCCTAAACTTCTGAGTAACTGCATACATGAAATGTGTCATTGTCACAACTAATTTGGATGGAAATCCGTGTCTGGATTGAATATTTAGCCTTGCTAGCCACAGAATAGATGGTCTCTGTAAACAGGTAACTGCATACATGAAATGTGTCATTGTCTGTAGCCCCACAACTGATTTGGATAGAAATCCGTGTCTGGGTTGAATATTCAGCCTTGCTATCCACAGAATAGATGGCCTCTGTAAACATATCATCCTGAAAGATGACAGTTATGCATATATTTGCAGCTGTATATCTCATGTTGGATATGAGAGCCAAAATGTCTTTTTTCCCCCTCTGCTCCTAAATTTCTGGATCACACAATCCCTGAGTGCACAGGGCCCTGGGTGATTTACAGCAGATTAAAAACATCATAACGTTATTAAAAACAGCGTTAAGACCGTAAAATCATCAGTCAGTCAATCCCCATTTAGTAGTCTCCAGATGGCATCCATGATTAATCTAAAACCCCCACTGGACTGTTCTTCCACCTCGCAGGCAGGTTAAGGAGGAGGCCAATGCCAGTAAGGTGGAAGAAAAGAGTAGGGCGCCAACTACAGTGGAAGACTATTGCTATCCTCAACCAAAAGCCTGGTGGATCATCTCTACCTTACAAGCCCCGCAGAATTGCATTTGATCCTGCCCGGGCCCTCGTGGTAGCTGGCAGAGAGTTTGGCCCTGGTTGAGGACAACCAGATGTCTCTGGGACCAGGGATCACCAAAGTTACGCAGGTCCCCACCAGATGTCTCTGGGACCAGGGATCACCAGTACACTGCTCTCAGCAGAGCATAACACTCTCCTGAGGACATACTAGAAGAGACGGTCCCAAAGATACACAGGTCCACGACCACTCAAGGCCTTAAAGGTCAACACCAAAAACTTGAACCTGACTTGGTACTCCACTGGGAGCCAGTGTAGCTGGTACAGCACAGGTTGTATAGGTGCTGTCTGTGGCGTTCCCGTCAGGACCCGTGCCACCACATTCTGGATCAGCTGGACTTTCCGGGTCAGTCTTAAGGGCAGGCCAGTGTAGAGTGAGTTACAGTAGTCTAGTCTGGAGGTGACTGTTACATGGATTACTGTGGCTCGGTCAGGGCACAACAGGAAAGGGGTTAGTTGCCGTGCTTGGCGTAGATAGAAGAACGTCAGCCTGGCGATATTCGTGACCTGGGCCTCCATAGTTAAGGAGGCATCCAGGACCATGCCCAAATTCTTGATGGACTGCACCGGTGTTAGTGGTGCCTTGTCAGCAGTGGGAAGTCTGTGCCCCAGCCCCCCGCCACAGAACCTCTGTCGGATTTTTTTAACAATCCCACCACGGCTTCCAAACCCTCGGCCAAATTATGTGGGGTGGTATGTATGCATGCTAATCAAAAGAGTGTGCTGGTTAAAAAGTTAATGCTTTTAAATCATATATGAATGATGTTCTCTCTCTCTCTCTTTGTTTGAAACAGAACTTTGGAAAAGAACAAGAAGAAAGGGAAGATATTTTAAATCCAATTACTGACCACCAGTTATTGTATTAGTTGCCAATATTCCAGCCTGGACATCCGTGTGTGTTGGATCTGTTTGACCAATCTTGCACCAGTTGTATCCATATCTATGGATTTAACAGCATGACAAATTGTTTGTTTTTAATTTTGGTGGCAATTGAGATGCCTTGAATTGTTTAGGGTGTTGTATACTTAGGAAAACAAAACAGCTCTAAGTACCCTTTTTAAAAACAAAGTCATCTTAATGCAAAAGAACATTTTACTGTTGTACAATCATGTTCTGGTGGTTTGATTTGTTTACAGGATATTCCAGTATACAAGGACTTGGGAAGGTTTTCCATAAGGATACATTGCCATAATATAATATGAACTATGCTTCTATTATTAAAAAAAAATTCCATTCAGTGCAGCATATATAATAATGTAATTTAGTCTAACACAGTGGACCCTATTTTTGACACTTCCATTGTTTAAATATACACATGGAAAGACAAACGTATAGGCTTATGGTGCACCTAAAAGCTTTTTATAACAACCTTTTTTTTTAATCTTTAAAATATGCTATTCTCATTTAGTAACTACTTTAGCCAGAAGAATTTCATTATTGCTTCATTTTTGTAATAACATATAATTTAGATATTTTCCATATATTGGCCCTGCTAAATAGATTGTAGTTTCTTTCATATGGTATGAACCAGTGAATTAAACTTTTCCTTTAACTCCCTTTTTACATTTTATGGTAAGTAGCAGGAAAATGCATTTATAGGTCATTTCTAGGGGGGGAAATGTGGAGTTAAATACCATCATGTTTCTACCTGTGTGCCGTCTGTCTTCTACTAGAAATGAGAATCATGGCCTCTTAAGAAAAGTCACCATTTTGCATTTAGCTGTATTCATATACTGCATTTCTGTATTTTTGTTTGTATTGTAAAAAGTCACATAATAAACAATGTTGTGATGTAACATATTTGAAGTCTGGGTTCCCTCCTCCTTGGATAAAGCTATATATGGGATTTTTGTTCTTGTTGCTTTAAATTTTAACTCTTCTGCTTCAGAAATTATCTTCAGAGCCTTGCCGCGTATTAATACACAGTTAACAAGGTTGGATCAGATTGTGCATGAGACTGATTTAGTATAGTCGCATAGGCATTTAACCTCTTTGATGCCAACAGTAGGAAAGATACTTGCAGTGGGGAAAAGTTTGTGCGTGAGAGGTGGTGTGAGCAATTTTGCCTCACAAAGTATGCCACGTGTCGTGACTTTTACAGAAGCCATATGTGATCCAGCAATTGCAGTGTTCCAAAATGGGAGCAAGAAGATAGATGTAGGTGTTAAGATACCTTAGTGAAGCCACTACAGCTCTGCAGAAGCAACAAATCAAATGATAATTCTCAGAATAGCAAAACAGATATGGAGGAGCTGGTCCCAACATTAATATTTGCAAATGATTTTAATAGGAGGCCTTTAAAGGTGTATTCTTAAAGGTTGGGACAATCTTATAGCAAACTTTCAAATATCTGTCCATTAATGCTGACAGTACTTTCTCCTTCCCCTCGATATTTTATCCACTTGTAATGCTGAAATGTCATTAATTTGTCAGGATGGTAACATGCAACCACTTAGTAAATGCCCGAAACAAGTACCGTATATACTCGAGTATAAGCCGACTTTTTCAGCACATTTTTTGTGCTTATACTCGAGTGAGAAAAAAAATGACCCCAGAAAATGCCGCCGCTCCGCAGCCAGATATCAGCCTGTAGTCACTGCAGCCCGCCCGCCTAAACGTAACTTTCCCCATTTGCATTTTGGCCTGTGTGAATCTTTGAATTTTTCTGCTTAATGGACTTGCTGAGTACTTATTGATGGATTTATTCCCCATTCAGCCACCACTCCAGAAACAATACCTAAGCAGCCTCTCAAATGAAAAATGTATTGACAATTCTAAGAATAAGACCAGATGCATCTCCTGCTCTGAACTTGCAATTCTAGCATTATCCAAATGATTACTTTCTTTTTGCGACATTTTAAAGGTCTTCCAAAGTCATATTAGTATTCTGAAGCATGTGAGATTTCGAGATTGTTGGAAGTACGCTAGGAACTTGAGGTTCTTGGGAATGGAGAAGTCCATCTAAATACTTGCCAGCGGGGAGGGGAGTTGATGTGCTTATAAATATTCTTATACCTTATCCCCACTTAAGAATGGTTTAATATTTTGGAACAATATACTTGGTAGCACTTTGGCCAGAGGTTCCTATGCATTGTTCGGGGGGTGGGGGGATTAATCATTGCAGGCAGATTGACCCATTAAAATCTTGCCAGCCAATTTGTCAGTAGCTCTGAGCTAGAGGACTTGACTGGTGAGTCTGCAAGCTAACTCACCTGGGAAAAGTTGCTGTTATCCTTGGTGAGTAGCTAATTGCAAACCTGATTTAGATTTGCAGTAAGGGTCCCTTAATGTATCCACTAAAAGGAAAGCAAAGCAGAAGGGAATACTGAGAATGCAGGAAGGAGAATTAAATTTATTGCCAGCTTCTAAATAGTTCATTTTGGTCTATAGTGCCAAGTAAATATTGGTTGTCAGAGAAGCTTGAGAATTTCCAGTAACTTGAAAGAGGGGTTTTTGTTGTTCTTTTCAGGCCATCAGTGTGCTGTAAATGACTGTGCGGGTAGGCTAATAAATGCTTGGCTTGGATGTGGACATAGAAGAAGAGTGAGTGACGATATCTGGCAGTGGTGCTGTATAACAGTGCCACTTCCAGTCCCTTGTTGTGTGTATTGATTCTGGAACGTCCTTGTATTTAAAAAAGGCCTGCTTCCAAGTAGAAAACTTGAAGACCATGTAATGAACTACTTGATTTGGGGGGGGATTTCTTTGTCTAGTTTAAATTGCAGCAAGTATTGGACGTGAAGGAATGTTCAGAAATGATGTCAGCCAGACATGACACAGTCTATGCTGAATTCCAGAAATCAACTATCCGGTATAACGACAGCATATAGATTAACTAAACAAATACTACCCTGTTCTGTTGCATATGTTGACCTGGCCTTTTGTTGATGGCGTTGGGTGTCTAGTAGTGGATTCACTGTAGCTCTGTGGCTTCATAGGTTGCTGTCTTCAGTCACTAGAATGCAGGTATGCCCTTTATCAGTCACTGAAGACTGGTAGCTGTACTGAGTAATGAGGCAGCTGTGTTGGCATACCTGTTCTCCACTGAATAAAAATATACCATCTACATTAAATGCCTTAGTTCTGAGGCCTGGGTCATGTGCCCCTAGTGTGGTAGGACCTCGGTGACTTGGACTTAAAGGGGTTGTTCATTTTAGCTCTGTCTTCCCACTATCTGACTCAAGGAGGCTGGATCACTTAAACAATATGGCCCGGGTGCTGCTGGAACCTCTCAGCCGTTTTACCGTGCATGTTCTGCATGGCTTTAGCTTTGGTCCTGGTTTGGGAGGGGTTTCTTTGTACAGCTTCCTAATTTTCCTAATTCAGGCATCTTGCTATGACCCTTTCAGAGGAATCTCCTGTGCTTTCTTGGTAAATATTCTCAGGAACACAGAAGAATGGTGCCAAAGTCCTGGAGATGTTGCTCTGTGATTCTAAACACCAGTTCTGAGGCGTCCTGAGCCTGAAGGTGGCTGTAGGAGACTGTGAGATGTCAGAGACCATACTCCTGACTCCAGAATTTTGATTCTGATGTTGTGTGTTTTAGTACAAACACAAGTCCAGATTGTTATACACAGGGCTCTAGTCGGGGGGGAGCTCTCAGGTACGGAGCTCCGGAAGAGAACCTCTAGGGGGCGGGGCGGTCACGTGGTGAAGCCCCGCCCCCTTCTTTACCCCGCCCTCTGCTTCGATCCTCATTCCGTTTGGGAATGAGGATGAAGCAGGAGGGTAAGTAGCCGGGCCTTCTGACACACTTCCGGTGATGTCAGGGGGTGTGGCCTTCTGTCACTTCCGGTGATGTCAGGGGGCGTGGCATATGCAAATAAGTTATGCTAATGAGTTATGCTAATGAGCTCCGGCAGCTCTTTTTCTACAACAAGACCCCTGGTTATACACTCTGGTTTGTTACTTTTTCTTCAAGATCAACAGTAAAGCTGTGGAGGAGGGATTTATTGCTACACCGGCTGGCTGTCATTTTGTCCAGAGTTGGGTTGCAAGGTTAATCAATCAAAGCTTTACTGAACTGAAAGGAGGCAGTTTGGACAGGTGGAGCGGCAAATTACATTTATATTTTTGATGTCTTCATGGCTCCGATATTTTACCATCATGGGGAATGAGAGAAAACATTAAGGCAGATTTTTATTTTGTTGAAAAAAATTATATGCTGCCTTTCCAGGAACCTGCCCGGGGCAGCTTACAAAAATAATAAAAGCTAAATATTAAAATATGTTAATGAAAACTCAGCATTAAAAAACCCAGCCCAGCATAAATTCATATGGCATAAAAACAGGCCCCGACATGGACTGGTAGCTTTGCAGTCAGAGGGTCCCTATATTTAAACTTAAGTTAGTTAACAGGTAGGTGATAAACTAAAAATTCTTTCGTAGGTTGACCCTTGTAGACAAAACATGATTTCAGTCATTTGGGGACTGGTAAAAAGGATCCATCCCTTTTGCTCTTGCCAAACATGTGAATTAAATTACTTTAGAACATAGGAGAATAATAGTGCTGTCCACTATTTCATATGTATGTGTGTATTAAAAATGCAGGTAACTAAGTGGTGGCTTCTCCATTCAACACTGAAAGTACTCATGCACTCTTCGGACATGGGCATCTTGCTGGATCCTTACTCCATCAGTATTTCTTAGTCGAGGAAGTGATCTTGTTCCCCTTTTGTATTTTTTGCCATCTTTTCTTCACTATTCTTTCTTGGTTTTTCTTTTAGTTCAATGCCGGGTAAAAGTGGTTATTTTTCTGTGGTAGAGCAATTCATTGGGTGCTTTTCTAAGAGTCATTCTGGTACTCAGCAGTGTCAAGTAGGGGCCTTCTGCTTCCCTTTGTCTTACTGTTTTCACACCACTTTCAGCAAGCCTGTTAGCTTGAGGATACCTGGGGCTTGATGTTGTATGATGTAATAATAATTTGAAACATTTATGAATACTTCACAACTGTCTTCTGCTTTGAGAAGAAACAATTTCATTTTTGGCAGAATCAATAGAGAAGCGGCTCTAAACTTTTCCACATAGAAGAAGAAGAGGAGGAGGAGGAGATTGGATTTATACCCCGCCCTTCACTCCCCAAAGGTGTCTCAGAGCGGCTTACAAACTCCTTTCCCTTCCCCTCCCCACAACAGACACCCTGTGAGGTGGGTGGGGCTGAGAGAACTCTGACACAAACTGCTCTTTTTCAAGGACAGCTGTGCCAGAGCTTGTGACTGACCCAAGGTCACATCAGCAGCTGCAAGTGGAGGAGTGGGGAATCAAACCGGGTTCTCCCAGATTAGAGTCCACACACTTAACCACTACACCAAACTGGCTCTCATTCTTACCTGCACATCACTAAGCAGTGTCCCCAAAGTACAACCACTTACCACTATACAGGTTTCTTTCCTTCAAACGAAAAAGGACCCTGGGTATAAAATAATCAGAGACATCTGCTGATTTTGCCATTGGGGTATATGAAAAACATTTATTT